ACGGTGCAATTGGGACGAAACACGATGACTTCCGACTGCTTCTTGAAAGGTAATGCTGGGACCCCCCGAGTGAAATGCGATCGGCCTGCTACGTGGCAGAGTGACAAAGGTGGAGGAGCGCGTAAGGATAGAGCAGAAGAGAGTAGAGTAGAACAGGGTAGGGCAGGGTGGAGTAGGACAGGGACAGCAAAATCAAAGTGGAAGGGGTAGATGGTGTACTCGAGCCGGGTAGAGCAGCGCAGAGTAGAGGACAGCAAAGTGGACGGTGTGCTTTCCCTTCCCGGGTAACGGTAATTACCAGGGGGGGGGGGGTTCGAGCGGGAGGGTAACGGTAACGCCGGCCGCGGCGTGCACCCGCCATGGTGCGTCCGAACCACCGGCGCATCGATCGCCTGTGTGCGCCAGTCCTTGTGCACACGACAAGGCCCATTGCCTGCATGCAACACAGCGCCGCCTGTATACACCACAATGCCTCCGTACACCACAACAGCCGCGTGCACCGCAGCACCACGTCGCCTATGTACACCACAATACCTGCGTAAACTGCAGCAGCCGTGTGCGCAACAGCGCCTGTGTACACCACATTGCCTGCGTGCACCAAGACGCTTGTGTACACCACAGCGCGTGTGTACACCACAGAAGGCAAGCATGTGCACCGCAACACCTGTGCGCGCCAATGCACCCGTGCACCAACGATATTGTACACCACAACACCCAGCATGTCAGCGAGCACGTTAGTAGTTTGCGAGGCTTCTTTGCGGAGCTCGCCACAGATCACGGAGGCCCTCAGGACTCGTCATTCATCTCCTCCTCCTCCTCCTCCTCCTCCTCCTCCTCCTCCTCCTCATCCGCCGCCTGCGCCTCCTCCTCCTCCCTTCTCTTCCCCTCCCCTTTCAACGGTCCTGGCGGCCTTCGTTGAGGGGGGGATTACGAAGCGGGAGGAGGAGCAGCAGGAGGAGCAAGAGGAGCAGCAACAGGAGGAGCAGCAGGAGTCTCACGACGGCGTCGAAACTCCAGCGCCGTCGGCATTGGTTTCTGACACCGCGTGGATCGTTCAATCTTGAACGATATCCGCTCCCCGAGGACACTGGAGGCCCTCGACCATCTTCGATATCGATTCCGTGCCGTGGGCTCGTTCCTGCGGGTCCCGGGGCCCGAAGAGGGCCCCTGCGTCGCGTTCAACCTCGAACGCCCGCTCAGCCGAAAACCGCTCGACATCGGCCCCCCGACGCGCCGCCTTCCGAGTAGGGCACCTTGGTAATGAGTCCGCCTAGCACCGCGATAGCCTGCAAGCGCCACAGCACGCATGTGAGCACCGAAACATGCCTTTCAGCACCACGCCATGCCTGTGAGCTCGGCGAGGAGGAGGAGGAGGAGGAGGAGGAGGAGGAGGAGGAGGACGACGACGACGACAACGAGGGCTCTCCGCCTCCACGCCGCGACAGGCGCGCCCGGTACCGTTCCCGGACCCCGGCCCTGCGCGGCGCGGACGAAGCGCTGCGCGGCGCGGCGTGGGCGCCGCGCGGCGTGGACCTGCGGGGGGGGGCGGCGGCGCTGCGAACGCGCGGGCGAGGCGCGCCCCTCGCCGAAGCCTCGTCGCCTCCCCCCCGATTCCCGCCCTGGCCGCTCTCACCCCCCGCCCCGCCCTCGCCTCCCCTACCTCAGCCCGGGCCCTTTCCCCTCCCCCCCCGCCTCCCGCCCTTCGCCTCCTCACTACCGTCCTCGCCCCTCGCCCAGCGCTACTTTCCACAGGGCTCGAGCTAAACGTATTATTGTTTTCGCTATGTGTCGTTGTGTTTTCATTCTGCGTCCGCTGCGAAACCAAGTCATATTGAAACGAACCCCGAAATCGCCAAAGCACCGTTGGGTTCGAGCCCTGCCCTTCCTCGCCTCCCTCCAGCTTCCCCTCCCTCCTCGCCAGCACTCCTTCCTCGCCTCCTCCTCCTCCTCACTGCCCCGTCCCGGCCTCTGGCCCTTCCTCTCCCTCCCTCCCTTCCCGCCCCCTCCCTCCTTTCCCGCCGCCCCCTGCTTTCCCTCCCTCCGTCGCGATGCTTCGCGACTGGAGGCTTCCCAAACAAGGTTGGAAGAACGCAAGCCCGACTGCCGCTCGCAAAGTGCCGACATGACCTTCCAAGACCCTTGCGTCGTCATCATGAGTCCTTGTTCTGCGGGTGGACAATATCCCAAGCGCACCCGCTCCTCAACTTCCCCCCAAATTCACGCCCCTCTGTTCAGAGGCGAACCGGGGGGGGAAGTGACAAAGGGCGGGCCTCCTCAAAAGGCTCGGAAGTCCCCCGGCCTTTTGGGAAGTTTCCTAATCCTTCCCCGAAGACACAGACAACCCCTCAAAGGCGCGAGGGCTTCTGGGAATACTCGCCGTCTTCTGAAAAAAAAGGCCCTCCCCTTCTCGTTTCCCTCCTTCGTTCGCCGCCAAAAAAGGCCAAAGCACGTTCAGCTGCACGCAAGAGTAACCTCAGTAAAAAGCCAGATGCCGACCATGGGATGGTAGGTTGGATGTAAGAAGTCGGGCGCAGCATCCTCCAGAGGATTGAACTGATCCTGTTTCAGATGCAATAGTGGGCCGCAAAATCCTCTAGCGGCCGAAGCAAATGGGACGCCGGCGCCTTGAGCCAGACGCCAGCAGCATGCTCGCTGCGCTCGCCATAAACATATCCCAGCCCGCTGGAATTCTTTCAGAGTCGGGGGGGAGGAGACGAGCGGCAGCGAGAGAGTGCGCCCACAGCCGGCCAACGCCAAGCCGAGTCCGCAAAGTCATGGCCGGCCCCGACCTGGCCAAGAGCCAGCGACCAGCGACGGGCCTGCGGTGTCTCAGCGAAGCAGACCCAAGAAAACGAGCAGTGAGAGTAGAAGATTACAAACGGAAAGAAAGACAGGCTTGCCTTCATATCGTGTCTCCACGCAGCGTAGGTGCACTCCGCCGGCTCGTCAGGAGCCGGGCTCAACCTTCGAGGTCAGGGCCCTATGCGAAGTGTAAGTATTCAGTTCGCGCCTGCAGGATTGCGAACCCGCCATTGTTTGCTGCTTTGTTTTGCCATGTTCGTCGGCATTCATATCACGCGTGTCACACGGATTTATGTTACGTATGATACGCCTGTCCATCATCTGTCTAATCCAGCAAATGTGATCCAAACGTGTACATACAGTAAGCTGTTTGAAATGTTTGCTGGATAGTGACTTTAACACACATTCGGCATCAATGGCGAGAGCGACCTTAATGCATAGACCGCCCATCGCAAAAATGCTGTTGACTTGCATTGGCGCTAGCGGTCCCGCTTTAAGTTCGCACAGGGTAACAACAGTCGGGTAGGAGTCCTCTACAATGCGGGCTGCTGCTAGCGCTTCCGCTGAAAAGCTTGACCTCACCTGCAGTCGATGCGGCTTGCATTAGGCATCTATTGAGTGTATGACAAGCTTGCCATTTCGTGCGCGCCCACGCCGGAGCAGGTTGGAACCTTGAATGCCACGCCCCTTTCATCTCATCCTCAGCATATCAGGCCAGCCGTCCGTAGCCGGGGTCATTGCGGAGATCGACTTTCCCGGTGGACTTCCTAGCAGGGTAAAACATGTTCTGGGGTCGCGCTCGAAGCCCACGCGCAACTGCGATTAGCCGTCGCACCAGGACGATGGTGGGTCTTTGCAACCGCTGAAGCGAAGCGACGCATACCATCAACCAGATTTGGGTTATGCGAACACACGCTAATGCTCCACGGAGGCTCACGAACATGTCGGCGGCAGGCTTTGTTGCAGTCCGCTCGGCCTCCGCACCCGTGCGGTCTGGGTGTTGGATAATCCAGTGTTGCGACGCCTTTTTGTTGTTCGTGTATATGACGGCACATTTGGTGTAGGTCCGCACACTGAGTTCGCATGCGCCGAATGTGTTTTCGACGCAATTCACGCAGCGATCAATAGCTTCCTCCTCTCCAGTCATACAGTGCGGGTGCGGCCGCAAGAAACCCTCGCAAGAAACCCAGCCCTTGAAAACCCGCGCGCGAGGTGCACCAGAGGGGATACCCGGAGCACCATGAACGCAGCCGCTCCTTCCGCAGCTGCGGCAAGGCACCGCGCGGCGCGCGGAGCGAAGAAACCCAGGATACCCTAACGAAAAGCAGTTGGTTTCTTGATGCGCGCCCCCAATGCACTGATGTCGTCGACGTGTCTGGCCGTCAATAGCGTCTCCGATGTTTCAAATCCCTCGTCGTAGGACGTGGCTCGCAGGCCAAGGCTGCGCGCGACGTTGCGCAGTTTCAGGGAGAAAGCGCGCGGGGCGCGCTTCGGCCCTGTGCCTGGCTGAAAACATCGCAAGCAGCGTTTGCTTCCGTCGTGCGTCTCGAGCCAACGCAGAGGTCTAAGTGCAGACGCCGAGCCTGGTGGAAGTGTGAAGCAGACGGTGCGTTCCCGCTCTCCCAGTGGCCTCAGCAAGCTCCCGATAGGTAAACCCTTCAGGAACGCCTTGTCTATGTCCACTGACGCGATAATCCAGTCGGGGTTACGTGTCCCCTCGCTGGTCAACAGGCGCTGGCTGGACCTCCCAGCTGTTCCTGAGAAAGTTTCAACGTCGAAGGCCTCTACGTCCATGCATCCTCGTAGGACAAGTCTTAGCCGGGTTGTCTTTACCATTTCTCCTTTGTCGTTTCTGACGAGTTTCTATGAGAGAGGCCATCTTAAAGCACTTGATATCGAGCCCAGCCTTTAGCCCTGCTTAGCCTTCCTGAACTGGATGGGCCTGAATTACTGCCTTGGCGAGCAGGTCGTGTTTCTTCACTACCACAGCTCGCTTAAGCCGCTGCAGACCCATATACCCGCATAGTAGTGACGCTCTCATTGTGCAAAAGATTACACTGTTGTTCCGTGAACACCACTTTGCCCGTGCTAGCTGCGAAGCACAGCGCGACTTTGCCCACGGCGGGAGCATGGGGGGTGTCCCACGCCGGGGATCCAACGGCAGGGATTCATCCATGTCCACCGACCTGGAGACGCACCCCCCCCGAAGATCACGGGCAGAGCGGTGGACACCTGCCCCCCCGCCTCCCGATGGGCAGCAATGGCACGTCCCGCACCCGAGGCTCTGCACGATTCTGAGGGGGGCACGACTCCAGAAACCAATGACACCACCACCCCTTACGACCCCGCGGGGCTTAGCGCACACCGGGAAAAAGATGGCGTGGGCTTTTGCGTGGCATGCGGGCTGTAGCGCAGCATGGAGGACCGCAGGTGGGGTGATGTCGTCTGCTTTGCGGTCGAGCCTCCAGAACCCGCGCACGCGCACGGATCCCTGGCGCTGCCCCCTCCCCCCCAGCTATCCGACGATGTGCTTCGCTTCGGCCTCCAGGGGCCCCGAGTAGGAGAGCCCGGGACCAGCAAAAGTGAACGTGGGGCGAGAAACTGGTCCCAGGGGAGGCTCTGGGGCCCTGCACTGAGAAAAACATCGTAGGATGCCTGGGCCCCCGTCGGGGGGCCGTGCAGGGGGGGCATGGCCAGGAACATCGCTCCAGACGGCCCCCCCTGGCAAAGGATCGGCGGCGAGCCCGAGGGGGGAAGTGAAGAGGGGGGGGGGGCGCCTCAGAAGGCTCGGAAGTCGCCTGGCCTTCTGAGAAGCGCCCTAAGCCTTCCCCGAAGACACCGAAGACACGAAAACCTCTCAGAGGGTGCCAGGGCTTCAGAGAAGTCCCGCCGCGAAGGCCTTTTCCTTTTCGCTTCCCTCCCTCGCTCGCCCCCGAAAGGGAGATACAGGCCTCCAGGTAGGCTCGCTCCGTCACACCACCTCGGAAAACGCCTCCGCCTTCCAAGGCTGCCGATATGATGTGTTCAATCCGCGGCCAAGTCCCGACTCCTTTCCTGGGGGGGGGGCCTTTCGTCCTGGTGCCGTTTTTCGTGGTCCCCAGGCCCGACAACGGGCCCCAAAGGCCGAAACCTGGGCAAAACACACACACACACACACACACACGCACACACACGCACACACACAAACACACGCACACGCTCACCGTTCCGGGGCCCTCCCCCAGGCTGGCACCGCGTCTTGCCCGGGCCCGGCGCACCCGTCCCTCGAGCGGCCGCGAGAGCAGGGCCGCCGGCGCCCCTGGCGGGCCCCGGGCCCCGCGAGATGCGCCCAGACGCGGCCGAGGAGGGTCCTGGCCGCTGGGGCGGGGTCCTCTCCTCCCCTCCTGCGCCACCCCTCCGCCACATCCCCTCCCCGTCCTCTTCCTCTCCCTTTCCCACTTACTCAATATGAATACTACTCTCCCTCTTCCCCTGATGACGTGCTGGGAGTGTTCGCCCCCCCCCCCCCCCCGCGTACTGTTTTTTCACACAGGTTTCCCCGGAGTTGGGTTTTCGCCCGAATTTTTGTTTCAAAATGCTGCTCTCGCTGAGGCGCCGGCCTCATTTTCGGGCCCCGCTCGTTCCGAATCGTGCTCCCGCTGCAGCGCTGGCCTCATGTCCGTGCTTCCACTCGTTCCGAGTCGTGCTCCCGCTGCAGCGCTGGCCTCATTTCCGCGCTTCCGCTCGTTTCGACTCCTGCTCCCGCTGCAGCGCTGGCGTCAAGTCCCGTGCCATGCCACGGCATGCACTGCAATGCTAGGTTGATACTACGCTTTGCGGTGCTCTTCTACGCCATGCCATGCCGTGCTCTACAATGCATCGCGTACCCATCATTGCCCTGCTCGACATCCGACTGAGCGAGTAGAGAGGGGATCTGCGCCATGGTAAGGGATGGGAGGGAGGGGTAGGATGTCAGATATGACGCGAGCGCACCTAGCTTGCCACTCCCCCCTCCCTCTTCCCCTCCTCCTCCTCCCCTCCCCCGCCACCTCCCCCTCTCCCCCTCCCTCCCCGTCCAAGACCTCCCCGTCCCCATCCTTCCCCTGCTCTCCCCTTCACGTCCCTGGCCTCGTCCTCCTCCAGCCCTCGCCTTCCACTCCCAGTCCTCTTTCCCCCTCCCCTCCGCACCTCCCGCTCCCATCACCCTCCACCACTCATGCCCTCTCCCAATCCCCGTCGTCTGGACCTGGATCGCGCCATTGCCTGGACCTGGATCTTACCATCTGCACGGTGAATCTGGCATCTCTCGGCCCAAACCTGCCTTGCAATCGGGGGCGCCTCCCGCCCGCTACCCCTCTGGACCCCCCCGCTCGCAGCGGATTCGTCGATGCCGCTTCCATGGCACGCTCGCCCGCATCTAGCGACTCAGCCTTGATTGATCACATCTGCACGGAAAAAAATTGATTTCCGCGACGCCCGTTTCGAGGGCATCAGTCACGCAGGTATTCGGTGCCTTGCGCGCGGCGTCCCACGCCCCAGGTTCCCCACCCTTGTCGCGGGTCACCCCCGCTGCTCCTGCTTTTACCCCGGAGCCCCCGCTCCGCCCGCAGCGGCTCGCGCTCCTCCGCAGCTGCTCCGAACGATTGCTCGAATGCAACGCCTCACCCGGCAGGCGCCGGCGCTCTTGCAGCAACGCAGCCCCTGCGCGTCGCGCGCGGCACGCCCATCAAGCAGCCCTTCGTGGGCCGCCCCTAGTCGCGCTTCTTTCGCGCTTCCAATGGGGCCGCCCCTCGCACCGCCCCCCCCGCCCGAGGGCCCATGGTCGCGCTTCATGCGCGCGAGCATTCGTTGTGGCTCTCTCTCTCTCTCTCTCTCTCTCTCTCCGCGCGCTTCCTTCGCTGGCGCCCGCCGCCTCCTGCCCGCTCTCCTCGAGGCCGCTGCGGCGTCCAGTTCTGACTGGCCTCGTGCGCCTGGCCTTTGGCGCTGCTGCTGTCTGCCCCTGCTTCCCTGGCCTTGTCGCTGTCTCTCGGCGCTGGCGCCCGGGGCCCGACTCCGGGCGCATCGCGCAACCTGCCGGACGCAGCCAGCTCGGCACCGGGCGCGTCCAGCGCGAAGCCGCCGTCGAGCAGCGGAGAGCCCCCCTTCGCGGGCCCCCCCGTCCCCCCGCTCCACTGCCATCCTCCCCACCCTCCCCTCCCCCCCCCCGCGCTTCCGCCCCCCCCCCCCCCCTTGCCCCGCCCCCTCCTCCAGCGCGCGCCTACGCGGCCAGCGGCGCACCCATGGTCTCCCGAAAGAAAGCCAAGGCTGCCCCAGCACTTCCATGCCAGACTCGCTGCAGCGGCGGCACCTTCGGGCTGCAAGCACCCCACTCGTGCCCGGCCACGGCCCCTCAGCTACATGAGAAGAAAGAACAGGGCAGCGCCGCCGTTCTGTCGGACGCCCCCCGCGCCGCCGCCCCCCGCCCGCCAGACAGCGGGGCCCTTCCCCCGACCACATCGGACAGCAGCCCGCCGTCTGCGATGCCCCACTCCTAAGGAGGCTGCAAGGCCCAAGAGGATGTCTTGTCTTACGGCGGGCGCATAGCGGTGAAGCAAGGTGGCCCGCTCTTCACGGCCCTCCGAAAGCGTTCCTATGATCTTCTTTGCGTTCGAGACTGCAGACTCGGCCATCTCATGCTTTCTTAGGCCACTCTCCAGGTCGTTCAAAGTAGTGCCTCATTTCCTCGTCAAGTTCTGAATTTGTCACTGCGTTCGAGATGGGCGCGCCAGGCCCCCTTCCTCTCCCGTTCCGTGACCGCGCGCATTCGCGGAGCCAAAGATAAGATGGTGAATCCCCTGTTTCCGCTTCTCCTACACGGATAGAAGGGATTCGCCCTCGGCTTCTTCCCCCCGCCGCAGGATGCGACGTCGTCTTCTGAGCGTCCCATTGGCAGCCCCCAGGGGGGGTCGGAGGTTCACGGGCGGAAATATGTTCACTACTCCCGCTCATGCTCCACGAGGTTCCCCACCACTTACTCTGCCCTCAGGAAGCTTCCCAGCGGTCCAGGCCATGACGAATGCGTGCGGTGAAGAGTAGCCATTCCATCCCTAGCCCGCAGAGGCTCATCCTCCAGCCGCACCTGACGGATCAACGACGAAGCCCCCTCTCTCAAAGAGAGGTAGGTGCAACACGGCCCAAGTGTTTCTTTCCTGTTTCGCCTATGAAATCTCAAGCTGCCTTTTGCGTTCTCCATCAGCATCTCATGTTGTGCAAGTCCGGCTGCTAAGTACGCGTTGGTCATATTTGCGGCGAGTTCTTCAGGAGCTTCGATTCTCGTCTCCTCCTACAATTACCTTCCTCCCTACTCCTAACGTTTAACCAGGCTGTGGGGGCGGCGCACGTTCGATGCACTATCTACGCAGCCGCGCGCAGGGATGCTGCCCAGACTGCAGACAAGTCAAGCTGCAGACATGGCTATCGTGAGGCATGTTGCCCGCCCGCTCTCTCCTCCCAGTGTACATCTAATACCATCCGCCAGATGGTGCAGTCGTCTCTCGAGGCTCGAGGCACACCAGGCCATTACCTTTTCCTTTTTCATCGTCTATTGCGTGCTAGATTCGAGGAAAGTGGATCGCCTGACTTCGGGATACAGGTCCCACAACTTAGCCCTTACAATATTTCAATATACCAGGGTGCTACCTAATGGGGACCCCAGTCCTCACTTTTTACTGTGGCCGTAGGACCTCGGGCAAATGTACCGCTCTTCCCCTCACAAGAAAGATTCCCTCCTGCACAGTTGGAGTCGTTGCGTTTACCACCCCTATCATTTTCTCCAGGACAAAGACTCTGGAGCAATCCCGTCTGGCTGTCCTGTTTGGAAGGCTTCGGGACGACATGCCCACGTCCCCCTCCTTCGGTATCAGCCTCTGTTCTCTTTTTCCTGGGCATGTCACGTCCGCCCATTTTGCCACTGAAGAAGAGTTGTTTTTCCTCTGCGCTGTGCTCCCTTTCCCCTTCTCTTCAGCATTCCTTTTCGCTCTATCGCTGTCGCTTACGATCTAGCATCGTCTCCCCAAGAGTCCCATTCGGAAAAATACTTTTCCTGCACAGCTCCATTTTTGTTGGGCGGGCGCCTGTAGGCCGATCGGCCCAAGATGACGCACGCCGTTGGCGCAAGCTCGCTGCAGTCCCAAAAACAGATCCTCCGACATGAGCACGAACTCACCAAGCCCGAGCCCACCCAGCCGTGCGACGAGGGAACGATACATGGGGGGGGCAGCCGGGGCTCCAGGAGAGGGGCCCCTCAGGGCCCAAAAGGAAGCCTTTCGGGCCCAAAAGGAGGCCCACAGGGCCCGAAAAGTGCGCCTGTCTCCCCCCCCCCTGGCTGTCGCCCACCCTCATGGAGCGGGGCCCAACGACCCAAAAAACCTCCCCCGTCCAGCGAGGAGGGGCCTCGGGCGAGGAGGGTCCTCGGGCCGCTGGAGCGGCTGCACGGCGTCGGGGCGCTGCGGGGCTCCGGCTCCTGGCGAAGTGGGGGGGGGGGGGGGGGCCTCGATCGATCCTCGATCGTGGCACCGCACCCGAGAGGGCCGGGGGCGGCCTCTGCTGCAGACAGCACGCCGTCGGCAGGAGGTGAGCGCAGGAGGGGGAGAGAGGGAGGAGGAGACGGACAAGGGAGAGCGGGGGAGCGGGCGGGGAGGGGGGGGAGGGGGGGGGGGGGGGGAGAAAGCAGGAGAGAGGAACAGGGGAAGGGGACGAATGGAGAAAGTGGATGGCGAGGGGGAGGGGGGTGGCGGGCGGGCAGGAGGGAGGGAGATGGTGGACAGGGGGGAGGAGGAGATGATGGAGCTGCGGCAAGACGTTGACGAGCACGACAACGAAGTGGAGTAGGGGAGGAGGAGGAGGAGGACGAGGAGGCGGAAGAGAAGGAGCTGGAGGACCAGCAGAAGGAGGACGACGAAGATGAGGGGAAACAACAAGTATCCTGGCGAAGGACCCAATATACAAGGGCACGTCAAACAACTTGGAATTCAGTCGACCTGCATAAAAAGAATGAGGATACAAGGGCCTTGCAAGGCCACGTCGACCCTTTGCGGGCGGGGCGCGGCCAGCAAAAGCGGCCAAGGATGGACCGAAAGGGCAGGATGCAAGGGTAACCTGGGAAAATCGCTCGTCCTTTCTATGCGCGTTGGCTGTACTGCCACTGCCTGAAAAGCACGCCCGCAAGACCGCCCTGCCCCTTTGCCCCTCGCGCGCCCCCGCCTGGGACAGGGACGCGCTCGTAGACTGGGACGAGGCCACGGACGAGGTCGGCGTCGCACGGCTCGTGCGCCGGGAAGACGGCGACGAGTTCGACGAGCTCGACGCGCGCATGCCCCATGTCGTGCAGCTCGACAAGCCCGCCTGGGACCGTGTTTGCATCGGCCCCGACGCTGCGAACCAGCGAGGTGGCCCTCCATCCCTCCCTCCCTTTCTTCCCCTCTTGCCTCCCTTCCTCCCGCAACCCAGCTTCCCCTCTTCACCTCCCTCACTCCCTCCCTCCCTCCCTCCCTCTCTCTCCCTCCCATCCCCTCCACAATTTTCCTCCTGCATCCCTCCTTCCCCAGCCGCGACTGGGGAGCGGAGAAACGTTTCTGCTGGGAGGGAGAAAGAAAGAGAGCGGGGAATTGGCAAGAGGGGAAACGGGAGGCGGGGTGGAGGGGGAACGGGAGGGGGGACAGGGAGAGGGGGGACGAGGGAAGTGGGCCGGTGTGTTGCCTTCGCTTCTGGAGGGGGCAATGTGAAGGGACCATGGGACACACACACACACACACAAGCACATAATTGGGCACAAATCCCAGGATCCCCCATACTTTTCCATATGTTATGCTCGCTTTCCCCCCATTTCCCATAATTTCCAATATTTTCTAGGGAATCGCCGATTATGTGTGCCTGTATTTTTTGCCATCCTGGAAATACCGATACGGCAACTCCCTGGACTTCTCCTCGAGCGCGCTCTGACCAAAATTTCGAGGAAATCCAACCGTGTCGACGAGGGGTCGTCGTCGTCGTCGTCGTCGCCGTCGCCGTCGCCGTCGCCGTCGCCGTCGCCGTCGCCATCGCCGTCGCCGTCGCCGTCGTCGTCGTCGTCGTCGTCGTCGTCGTCGTCGTCGTCGTCGTCGTCGTCGTCCCCCTTCAGGGTCGGCGGCTCCGGCCGTACGTCGACCCGTATAACTGATAAGGATTCGTGGTAAGGATGCAAGGGCCTTGGCAGGCCCTGTTGACCTTTTGCGAGCGGGGCGCGGCAAGCGAGAGCGGCCAAGGATGGACCGAAAGGGAAGGATGCAAGGGTAACCTTGGAAAGTCGCTCGTCCTTGGTATGCGGGCTAACTGCACAGCCTTCGCAATACCGACACCGCTGCTCCCTGGACCTCTCCTTGGGCGCACTCCCACCAGGCCTTCGACGCGAATCCAGCCGTGGCGACGAAGGACAGGCAGCGGCAGCGCTGTCTCCTCCTCCCCTGACCTCCGGGCGCGAGCGCGGATGGGCTCGGACGCGGGCCGCGGGCCGCGGTGTCAAGATCGGGGGGGGGGAAGCCGCCTCGGAGCCACAGACGGGAGGCCCGCAGGCGCAGGCGTCGAAGGCGTGGCCCGCGTGCTCGGGCGCGTCGCCCTGGCAGCGCGGCCCTCCCCCTTCAGGGGCAACGACAAGAGGGGATAGGCCCAGGGGGGGGGCAAATCAGGCTGGAATCGGCGACACATCGCTGATAGGGGCCTGATAGCCCACCCCGCCGAAAAACGTGCAGATTCGATATTGGGGGCCTATCGCCGACCTATCGGCGACGCATCGCCGTTTGCAGCTCGATGTTTCCTCCCCTGGACCTGTCCCCAGTATCGTTGCCCCTGATCCCCCCGCCTCATCCTCACGGGAACGGGACTTCTGTGTACCACCACCGTGCCTCGCCAACGCCATCCGAGGCCCTAGCATGGTACATGCGCCCTCCTGGCCGAGACCAGGAAGGCCCGGACCCAGGATGGCCCTGTCTAGGTACGGTTGCGTAAAAGGGCGAACCTTCTGCAGATTAGAAAGGCATAGGAACCTGCAAATCTAACAGAACGATGGTAATGAAAAGAAACCTCTTTAATCAAGCGGAGTACGAAGCAAAAACAAGCGTGTCCTGCTCCGCCGTTAGGCGGTTACCTTGAGCCAAGCGCCGCAGCTGCACAGTAGCATGGGGGGCCATCGTGAAACACCCCCCCCTCGACCTGGTACTCCTGGTCGGGTAAGCGACGCGCGATTTATATAGATATGCCTGGCCGCAAAGGTTAGAGCGAATGGGCAGCACTCGAATACAGCTGTAAAAAACAGAATAGACAGAACAAGCGGCTAGGGTGCACATACCACAAAGCGCAGTACGCGATTGACAAGGACTGAATTGAACGTTATGCATGGCGTAAGGACAGAACGGTGCAAAAAGTGACTAGAAGTATGGCGGGATATCCGCTCTACTTTCATATGCCACACCAGCCCTGTCATGAACATTCGCCTGAAAATGACTTCGAGTAAAGTGGAACAGACCTTAGAAAAGGAAGATATAGTAACATGTTCGATAGGTAGCTGTAACGCATGGTCTCTATGCCCAGACGGATGTTGACCTCGGCCTTCCACATTTGTCCCTTGCCATTGCCCGCATCGATGCGCGCGAACACCCCTTTCACGGTTACGCTTCTGGTGCGCATCGCGCTCCAGAAAGCGATCTTCATTCCAGGCGTTCTCTTCCTCGCCGCTGTCGCAACGCGCGCCGATGGCCTCATCGAGACCAGTCCTGGGTTCTTGCTGGCGGACTGCTCGTTAGCCCCGTGCCCCCTGTGGGTGATATCGGGATGACTCAGGAAGGGCGCAGTCCACCTCAGGTTACGATTAGCCAGCTTCTCCTCGCACGCCGTCCCCGAGTGAGGGTCGTCCACCCCAGACTGGTCAATGGTCCGCAGGTGATACTTCCCCAAAGGGATTTGGGCTTGCCAGAAGAACTTGTTTTCCAGGCTGCTGTCACCGGATATTTGCGCGCCACTGAACCCAGTCATTGGCCCCAAAAACGCACGCCTGCACGCGATTACGCCCAGCTGCGAGCGGCGCCAAGTCAACTCAAGTGCGTTCGCCAACTCGGTTTCGCATGCGAGAGGTTTCCTGGCAGCGGCGTCGAAGTTACTGCAGGTTAACTGCTACATTCGGTGGGAAACATCTTTGCTACCACGCGCCACTCGTCTAGGCGAAGCTCGAGACACAACGGAGGCCCTGGCGACAGAGGCGAGAAAGGGGGAAAACAGGGCGGGAGGGGACCGAAGAAGGCTATGGGGTCTAAAGGTCCCCCCAGTTTAAACGGCCCATTTCTGCAATGACGCATCATATCATTTCGCTCACAACCATCCCGCGCACGCACTGACATTCTAACTACCACATTCGGTGGGGAACATTTGTGCGACCACGCGCCACTCGTCCAGGCGAAGCTCGAGACACATTAGAAGTCCAAGATCCCAAAGGGTTTACTGGAAGGGCGTGGCGGGCTATGAGAGGAATGCCGCCTCAAGGTCCCAGTGGCGGATCAGCAAACAGTTCACCATGCAGTCAGCAAATTCTGTCGGGTAGGACGCGGCAAGGGAAGTCCTCGCGGCCCCGGGCGGGGCCTTGCCCTCGAGCACAACGCGCGGTTTACCCGAGGCCGAACAAATTCCGACAAAGCTGCGACAGCGACTATCCAGCTTGAAGGCGCCCCGGGGATCAACGCCGAAAGATAAAATCTGCGTGGGTTTCCTTCAACGGACCCCGAACTGACACTGATCGCAAATCTCACTGTGCATGTCACGTTGTTTAGCCAAGCTTTGCAACTGATACGTATAACACATTCTACGGTTGATGGGATGTTCTAGCATCAAAGGGGGTGCCAGCTCGCGCGAGGCATCTGATCAAGGTCAAAGCGGCTCGGCAGGTGGCGCTCCCGGCGGCGATCCTATGATTCGTATACTCTGTGGCATCTGGGATACCCCGCGGAAGCATAGCTGAGCGACCTGGCTGGCGGCCTCCGTCCGCCGCCGTGCCCCAAGACGCACAAGGAGGACCGAGTCAAGCGGCGGTGCCTTCCCCGCGGGCAAAGGTTTTCCGAATTCGAGCAATCACGAATGGACGCGTTGAATCTTCATCGGGGCCGTCCTGACGATTTAAACCGCGGTAACTGAAACCCCGCCCGAGGGCGGCTTGTCCAATCGAATCTGAACCCGAGAACAAATCTAAGACGCATCGGCGCTAGCGGCCCAGCCGCCTCACTGGGCAATCACCCCTGCGCGTTTCCCGAGCAGTATGTCCTCGAGTCGACCTTCGCAATCGCTCAGAGTGTCGCGCAGGGAGGCCGGCAGCAAGCTCCACGACTGCCCGAGCCCAGCTGCCGTCTCGTACCTCTGCATCGACTTGGAATGTTTCCACTGCCCCCGCTTGTGCATCTCCTCGAGCGTTCTGCAGTGCCTGGCCACGTCTATACTCGGACCTGAGTGCCGCGCCTGGTAAGGAAAAATGGACTGCTCGACACCCAGGCCCTGCAGCGCCATCCGAAACATCTCCAGAAACTGAGGGCAACTGAAGTCCCACACCTTTTCTTCTGGAGCCCCTTGCGCGAGCCGGCGGAAGATGGGCGTGACACACTGAAACCAGCCGCTGTCCAGCATCACTCCGACGCCTGCCAGAGCCGTCATGCTGCGCAGCGGCTTGCTGTCCGGGAGTAGGAGCAGCGACCACCAGCGGCGCACTCCTGGCGCAGGCGCGATGATGTCGCCGCGCGGCAAGAAGAGCAGGTGGCTGGGTCGGAAGTAGCCCGAGACCATGGTGAGCAGGAAGACGGCCATCTGCAGCGCCCCACGCGCCACCATGCGCCAGGCCAGCCCGCGCCAGAGGGCCAGCGGCCAGGCGCGGCGGCTCCGCCCAGGCGCCAGCTTGCGCCAGCCCCGGAGGCAACGCTAAGCTCGCGGCGCCTTGGACTCGCCCTGCTTCGAGTACCCTGGGAACCTGTACATGAGGCCCGCCATCACCTGGTCGCCTTTCGACGACTCGTGGCCGCTGAAGACCAACGCGTTCATGTAGTCCACGAGGGCCTCGTCCACCTGCGCGGGCGAGCGCAACGGGCGGCGCGGCTCCGCGTCGCCGAACTCCAGGAAGGCGTCCAGCTCCAGACCGCACCGCCTCCGCGCGGGTGCAAACACGGACCGTCGCCTCAGAAAGGTCTGGCCCTCCGCCGCTGCACTGTCCTGCAGCGCCTCCGCTCCGTAGGTCCTCTTCCTCTTTGCAGCGCGCCTCAGCAGCTCCTTCTCGCGCCTCTCGCCGGCTTGCACGACCTGCTGCTCGTCGGAGGTGCTGCTGTCGCCGTCGCTGTCGGCCACGATCTGGCGCCGCCAGTCCTGGGGGAGTGCCGGCAGGTCCGCGCCCCGCTCTGGGAGCCGAGGCGTCGGCGGCAGCGCAGCCAAGCTCAGGCGAGCCTTCCAGTCCCGCGACCGCTGGGCCGCCGACAGCGTCTTCTGGCGGCGCGGCGCCGGAGTCAGCCCTGCGCTCGTCGGAGCAGGCCGCGGCAGCTGCGGGAGCCTCGCCCCAGCCGGCGCCTGCGCAAGTGGCTCCAGCTGGCGCCTCCGCTCGGCCGCGGGCAAGGGCGCGGGCAGCAGCTCCGCCCGCGCAAGCTCCCGCCGCCGCACGCGAGGCGGGCCGAGGGTCAGATGGCTCGGCCCCACCAAACGGTTGAGCCGAAATGGGATACGAGGACGTCAGGCAGCACTCAGAATACACACGGCGATAGCTGACTCAGTGAGCAGGGACCGAGACCCGATGAGCCTGGCTCAACGCTCCGAGAGGTAAACAATCCGGGAGCTCGCACAACGAGGAAACTTCGACTGCAGACTCAGAACTCGGTGCCTGATTGAAAACGAAGGAAGCGAGAACCCTGGGGGGCCCTGTAAAAGAGACTCCGAAGGTAAAGTATCGAACAACTGTGAACCGAGGGGCTCCTCGGCCCCTTTCTTGTCAAAGACTCTAGAGCCATAGTCGGCTGATGTAATTTCGGAGGGAACCCATATGACAGACACTTTCACATTCTTCGCATGACACTAGGCATGGAACCTGCGGATCTGGACGAGAAGGGCGAACTTCTTTGCTGGACTCCAGTTAAAGGATAGCACAATTGACACGTGATCCGACAGAATCAGTTGCCGACAGGCAGCCCCGAACACTGACTGGGCGACGCGACGGGGGCCCATCGCCAGCGATCGGGCATTCTTGATAAGGATGCCCTCCTCGAACCTCCGGCGCTGCACGTGCTTTGCGCGCCAGCGGCTGCTCGCAAGCCCCGCCACGGGCACCACTGGGACGCCTGGGTCGGCCCCCCAAGCAGCGGCCAGCTCCGCGTCGGCGCCCGCGCCGGCCAGCCGCCACTCGCCGCCGACGCCCCGCCAGAAGCCCGCCGCCACCAGCGCGGCCTCTCGGGCCCCGCGGCGGGCTGCGGGGAGGCCACCGCCCTCAGCCGCCAGCGGCCCAGCAGCGACCTCGCGGAAGCGGGCCCCGTCCTGCACGCGGCCCGCCTCGGCCACCATGCTGCGGGGCCGGCGGGTGGCAGGCGCTGCCCATGCCTCCAAGCTGCTGTCGGTGGCCACCACCAGCTCTCTCCACTGCAGCGTCCAGTCGCTCTCCAAGAAGATCAGCAGGCCTCGAAACACCTCCAGCTCCACGCGGGTCTCCGGACAGAGCGCCGCGGGCTCGGCGCGACAGACGCCGAGGGCACCGCGCGCCAGCAGCCCAGCGTAAGTGCAGTGGCCCACCAGGACCTCCACGGCCCAGCCAGTCAGACGACGTCTGCGAAGTAACCCGTTGATCGCCTGCCTGATCAGCCAGGAGCGCTTCTGAGTGACCCTGGTCTTCCAGCGGGACCCCGAAACCGTGGTGCCTCAGGTCTCGGCCTTCATGCTCACGGAGCTGCCGTGAAGAAGCGAGCCCTGCTCGTCGAAGCCACGGACGGGCTGCTGCGCGGCGTCGGAGACCAAGGGCTCCGAGGTAGAGGCGACGCCAAGGTTGCCCACGTAGACGCAATTAATGGGCAGCATGGCCAACAGGGTCCGCCGCGCCACACACGGGCGGCCTGCCTCTGCCAGTCAGAGGGCTCTGTGCCAGACGGGGGCGAATCTCCATCACCTTGCTCTCGTCGATGCGCTGCGCTGCCCACAGGCCCCAGGTGAAGCCCATCGGGAAGACCCCCCAGCAGGGGCTCAGCAGGTCATGCCGCTCCAGCGGACGGCCCTCCCAGAGCTGGTTCTCGACGCCCAGGGCGAGGGCGGTGACCTCGGGGAGGCAGAAGTACTTGGTGAGCCAGCTCGGGAGTCGCATGCGGTGCCAAGTGGAGCTGAAGCCCCGCAGGAGCTGCTGCGCCTCCGGGATCCAGGGGCCCATGCCCTCGGGCAAGGCAAACTCCACGCGGCCGAGGCCCTCCGCGCAGAGGGGCCCCACGCCTGGCGGGGCCTCGAAGAGCTCGCTAGCAGGCCGCGCGTCCAGGACGAGGCGCAGCCGCTTCCCGTTGCCCTTCTCCACGAAGAAGAGGCCCACCTGGCAGCGGGGGCGGCGCGTCCACTTCAGCAGGCCGCGGCGCCGCAGGTCAGCGACAAAATGTCGATAGGGCTTGGCGTTCCGCTTCAGCGCCGGGTCGAAGTACGGCATCACAGTTGGCGTCGGGCTTCCGTCGCGCAGCATGCGCTCGGGATGCTCCTTCAGGAAGCGCTGGACCTCGGGGGGGAGGGGCCGCGTCCTCAAACGGCGGGCACCCCTCCGCTGTCTCGGGAGACGAGACGAGGTCCTTTCTGAAGGGCGCGACACGGGCGAGGCAACCCGCCCCATCGCACGGCGCATGCCCACGCAGCAGCCGGCGGACGGCCGCGCGCTCACTGAGAGCATCTGGACCCGGGTACCACCGCGAGGCCAACTCGCAGATCCGCTCCAAAAATTTAAAGCTGCATCGGATCGGGGTCAAACTACGTCGGTCCGTTCCAAAAGGCCGCGAGCCAGTTCAGTGCGCCCACCGCCTCGTTGCCCATCCTCAGCGCCAGCCGCTCGCGCCGCCAGAGAGCTCGACCCCGGATGGAGTCGTCATCAGGCAGACTCGGCAGGCGCCAGCGAGGCAGCAGGAACAGCTCCCTGGCGGAACGCGAGGCGGCAAGCCGGCCCCGCTCCACCCCTGAATCGCGGCCGGGGACGGGCCTCCCCCGGCCGCGGGGGCCGTCATGGCCCGTTGGGGGGGGGGGGGGCCTCGTCCTCGGACTGGCGCTGCGGTCCCTTTCCGAAGGCGAGCACCGACTGGTGGCGAACTGCAGCAGCGCCTGCCCTGCAATGTCATCCGAGGAAGCCGCGCCCTTGCAGAGCCGCGCGCGCCCACGCCGAGTACACCGCCACCAGGCCAGCCACGCGGCGCGCTGCCGTCTAGAGGCACATCAAGCCTCCCAGGCCCACCTGGTCGTACACGGCGGCCCTGCAAAGGATGTCGCACAAAACCTTCAACTCGTGGGCCACCCGATCGTTCTCCCCCAGGCCTTTCGACATCAAGAAGTCGCGAAGCCACAACCGCGGGCCCCCATTCGCGCGCCCCATGTTCTCGCAGACCGTCAAGGCCGACGCGGGGCCCTCAATCGGCTGGTCCGGGAAGACCTCCTGGGTCGACTCGCGGCACGCCGCCCTGAAGGACTTGAACCTCTCCACCCGCGGGTCAAAGTCCACCTCGAGGGCGCGCAGGTCTCCTCCCAGCGAGGCGCCGTCGGCAGCGGGCGGTGTCCTGGCGCCTCCGACGCCAGCAGCAGCAGCAGCACCCCCGTCGGGCAGCGCCGAACGGCCCAGGCGTTCGCGGAGGTCCGCGGGGGCTGAGGTCTCGGGGCTCGAGAAGTCGCTCAGCCCCATCTCGCCACGGCGGCGCGCCGCATAGCCCGGCAGGTATCCCGCCAGCAGCGCCCCACTCGGCGCAGGCCCTCGTCGAAAGCGAACAAGGCCACCAGCGCAGTCCCCGGCACGAAGCGCGCGTCGGACCGATCCACCGTGGGGCCGACAGCGGCGCTCGCGGTCGGCTCGGCCACCACCCAGATGCGGTCGTCCGCCAACAGCGCACGGGGCTGCTTGCCACGCAGCCGGCGCGCTCCTGGGCGCGGCTCGCGGCCGAAGAAGTCGGCCCAGGCCAGGAGCTCGCCGTCGGCGGTCGCCACCGCCAGCGGCTCCGCGGGCGCGATCCCACGGAGACGTGCTTCGACCATCGCGCTGCCGCGCTCGATGGCCGCCCGCAGCTCGGCGCGCGTCATCGGCGCCCTGAAGCGGCAGATCGGGCGCGGCCAATCTGGCGGGGCGCTGCCATCCGCAGGCATTACCGCAGCTCCGTCGGGGCCCGAGGCTGGATCTGCGCCCGCGAAGTCCTCCTCGTACTCGCCCTCGTCTGGCGCGCGAGCCGCCCACGTGCCAGTGGGCCAGCTCGGGAAAAGGAGGACCCGCTCGCGGTCGACGGGGTCGTCACTGTTAGCGGACGACGAGCCGCTGCCAGGGCACCAGGCGCCTCCACCACTCCAGCCCCGCGTCGCGCGGGAGCAACGCCATCCTTCACGGACGCGTGCGCCTCCGCAGCCCCGCGAGCTCCACCGCGCCAGCGCGGCAAGCCAGGGGCAGCCGCCAAGAGGACGCCCACGGGGTCCTCCTCCGCCGCCGCCGGCGCGGGGTCCACCAACGGGCAGACCGCAGGGCACGGCGGGCAGGCCTCGCCCGGTCCTCGGGCGGCAGCCACGCGGGCGGGCACACCGCCTCCAGCACGCAGGGCGGGATCCCCGATGGCGCGCCAGGAAACTGGAAGGGCCGCGAAGCCAAGTGGAGCAGTCCCAGGGCGAGGACCGCCCAGGGTCCAAGAGCCACCTGGGCCATCTCGGACCGAAGAACGCTATGGAATCCAAGGGTCCACCCAGTTTAGACGGTTCGTTTCTGCCATGACGCATCATGCCATTTCGCTCACAACCTTCCCGTGCACGCACTGACAGAAAACTCCCAGGTGATCGCCAATGTCGATGAACTCCTGCGCCAGCTTGCATATTAGAAACCGAAATGCAACCGCGCCCGTGTAACGACTCCATTACTGGTGAAAGATTGTGGAATATTTGTCGAACACTTTGACGGCCAGTATGGTGGCGCTTCCCGGCCAAAAGATGCCAAACCAACTGGTGGCCACGTTAATGCGACTCGTTCCTAAAGCCTGGGCATGTTTTGATGTTGACCTGGATTGCGCCGCCAATGTCACAATCGTGCACTGGATGGGGGATGCGGTTAGGCACTCCGGTGCCAGGATAACCCTCTCGGTCATCGGGGAAACACACCTGAATACTCATCACCAGCCTCATTCGGTGATCGCGCTCCCCCCTGCGATGCTTTGCTAGAGCGCCACGCCACTCTGGTGGACCTTCGAGGCAAGCTTGGGGCCACATGCAGTATACACTGCCGCAAAGCATCGTCAATATCGCGAATGAGTCCTGGTAAACGGCGCAATCTTCCTTGCTGGTGATGTTACCCAATGGGCATTCCATACTGCGCGCTTCGCGGTCAAGCCAGCCCCTGATGCAGTCACCCCACCATCTCCTGATTGCCCCAATTAAGCTCAGAGCCCCGATCGGCGGTCCTCGTGCATTGGGACCATGGTCAGGGTGGCCAGACGGCAAGATCAAGTCGCCCCTCATTTCAACGAGGTGCTCCTGGGGCATCGTCGAGGAGTCTGGGCTAGCTGCACCGCGAGCTTACAGACGCGCCCCTCGGCCCAGTCGGCCCGGTGAACGGCGGGGCGAAGGAGGCCCGAGGGGCGCCCCCTAAGGCGGTGAATTCGACTCCGATTCATCCACGTGCGTGCCCTTCTCGGTTAGTCCCTCGCATTTGCCCCCACCTTCTGTTGCGTCAACTTCGCGCTCTGGCGCCCTGTCTGGTGCGTTCGTCGGCGAGCTCGGCTCCTTCTCCCCAGTTGCACAAGACTGGCTCCGACCGATTTAGTCAGTAAGACCCTTGGCCCCCCTCGGCACATCTGCTTCAGGAGGGCGAGCAGAGCCAGACGCACTCGAGAGGCCACTCTGCCCCGTCCAGTGGAGCTGACCTCCCCTGTTCAGGGGTGAACCATAAGCCAGGGGCAACCCTCCCTCGAGCAGGGCCTCCCCTGGGAGGGGGGGTGAACTACAGGCCCGAGAAGCAGCGCGGCTCCTGCGGCGAGGCCGCTTGAGCGGCGGGCCTGAGGGCTCGATCGCCTCTGGAGGTCGGGGTGGCAGGAAGCCTGCTGTCCCTCCCCGCCAGCTGCTGTGTGGACGGTGCGCACTGCGCCCGTTCCATGGAAGGGCATCATCATCATCATCATCATCATCACCATCATCATCATCATCATGATCATCATCATCATCATCATCATCATCATCATCATAATCATCCTGCGACCACCAAGCAAGTCTGTCTCTCGCTCTACCTACAGGCCACACCCCTCACCTCCGCCACGAGCGCGGCGAACCGGCAGGGCACCGCGACGAACCGGTAGTCCTCCTTCGCCTCCTGGCCCAGCGCCCAGCTCGCTAGCCGGCCAGCTCGGCCGCCAGCGCGGCGCGGGCCGCGAGCTCCCGCTCCTGGCCGAGGGAGCTGCGCAGCTGACGCGCCGTGGCGCGGTGCAGTGCGCAGCTGAGCTCGGCGCCCCAGCGGCGCGCCAGCGCGCTCACGGCCGCTTCAGCCTCGGGGCCGTCGCCGAGGCCCTGCGCGCGGTCCCGCGCCAGCCAGCGCAGGTGGCGCAGCGCCGCTCTGCCCGGCCTCCCGGCCGTCTCGTGGGCCAGCGGGAGCAGCGGCCAAGGGGCGCGCCGCTCTGGGTAGCGGCGGCGTTTGTCCGCTTCCCCCTCTGCGGCCACTGCGCCGTCAGCGCCTGCGGCCGCCGCCAGGGCGCGCGCGTCCCCCGGGACGCTGTAACGGACGGTCACGTCCGCCAGCATCCGCGGGCAGTCGCCGCGCTGCGCCTCGAGGTCCAGGAGCGCCTCCTCGCGCTCGGTCGCGAGCGCCGCGCCGCAGGCGCTGCAGGGGCCGCTCGGCGGGGCGTCCGCGAAGCCGCGCGCGGCGCAGCCAAGCGCCGTGCAGCGCCAGCGCCAGCGGTCCCAAGCGGGCACGGGGACTTGCCGGGCCGTGCGGAAACCGCACTCCTGGTGAATGCGGTCCCACACGTCCTCGACATCCCGGCTGCGCGCCTTGGTGCCGCCCCCGCAGGCGCAGCGGAAGGCGTGCCGCGCCTTGCGGCACGCCTCCTCCTCCGCCTCCTCCTCCTTCTCATTATCATGATGATGATGATGATGATCATCATCATCATCATCATCATCATCATCATCATCATCATCATCATCATCATCATCATCATCATCATCATCATCATCATCATCATCATCATCATCATCATCATCATCATCATCATCATCATCATCCTCATCCTCATCCTTATCCTTATCCTCATCCTCATCCTCATCCTCATCATCCTCATCATGAGCAGCAGCATCAGCAGCAGCATCATCATCATCATCCTCCTCCTCCTCCTCCTCCTTCCTCCTCCTCCCGCCTCATCCTCCTCCTCCTCATCATCATCATCATCATCATCATCATCATCATCATCATCATCATCATCATCATCATCATCATCATCATCATCATCATCATCATCATCATCATCATCATCATCATCATCCTCATCCTCATCCTCATCCTCATCCTCATCATCCTCATCATCAGCAGCAGCATCATCATCGTCATTATCATCGTCAACGTCCAACCACCACCAACAACAACAACACACCCACCGCCCCATTATCATCAGCAGCAGCATCATAATCATCATCATCAGCAGTATCATCGTCAGCAGCAGCATCATCATCGTCATCGTCCTCATCATCACCAGCACCACCACAACCACTATCATCATCACCATCCCCAACATCATAATAAGAATCAGCATCATCATCATCAGCAGCAGCATTATCATCAGCATCATCATCAGAGTCACCATCAGCAGCAGCATCATCATGATCAGCATCATCATCATTGGGATCATCATCATCATCATCATCATCATCATCATCATCATCATCAGTATCAGCATCACCATAATCCCCATCATCCCCATCACCCATCATTCCCATCATCATCAGCAGCAGCATCATCATCCTCATCATCATCATCATCATCAGCATCAGCAGCATCAGCAGTATGAGCAACATCATCATCAGCATCATCATCATCAGCATCGGCATCAGCAACAGCAGCATTATCTGTTGTCGCCACCATCACCCTCCCCATCATCACCGTCATCCCCATCATCATCACCATCACCATCACCATCACATCCCTATCAGCATCACCACCATAATCATCATCATCATCATCATCATCATCATCATCATCAGCATCAGCATCAGCATCAGCATCCTCATCCTCATCCTCATCATCATCATCATCATCATCATCAACAGCATCATCATCATCCTCATCATCATCATCATCAGCATCATCATCATCATCATCATCATCATCATCATCATCATTATCATCATCAGCATCGTTGTCGTCGTCGATGTCGTTGTCGTTGGCACCACCACCACCACCACCAGCAACCCATTCCTCCCCCTACCCATCCGCCTCTCCAGAAGAACGCGGCTGCGTCCAACACGAGCCCTGGCCGGGCTTGCCCGAGCTGGTTGTCTGCCGTAACGGGCCGACACGGGTCGACCTCAACGAGGGAGCCATCAGAGGGACCTCAGGAGGCTCTCTCTGCACCCGCCAGGAAGAGGAGCAGGAGAAGGAGGAGCAGGCGGAGAGCGCAACTCTCCCCCCTCCCCCTCCCTCCATCGCGGAATGCGACGGAGGATGGATGGGAGGATTCAGAGAAGAGGGATTGCACTCCCACATGCTCATTCTCCTCCACCTCCTCCTCCTCCTTCTCATCGTCCTCCTCCTCCTCGCCTCCTCCTCCTCCTCCTCCTCCTCCTTCTCCTCCTCTGCCTCCTCCTCCTGTTTCTCCTCCACCTCCTCCTCCTCCTCCTCCTCCTCCTCCTCCTCGTCCTCCTCCTCCTCCTCAACCGCCTCCTAATCCTCCTCCTCCTACTTCCTCCTCCTCCTCTCCCCCTCCTCCTCCTCCTCCTCTGCCTCCTCCTCCGTTTCTCCACACCTCCTCCGCCT